AGGGAAAGACAACAGTAAGTAGGGAAAATCAAGTTGGGTTGAGTCGCTGTCTTACTTCATGTCAAGCCATTAATTGGGTTGACTTGAAAGAGATGAACCCGGGTACCTGTTTGAAACAGGAGCACCTCAGCTGGGAGGGCTGAGCCCCGACCCAGACCCTTCCTTACGCACACAGAAGTGGCTGGTGCATCCTCTTCCCTGTGAGATATGCCCTACATCCTCCTCCTGGCAGTGTGCACACCAAGCCTCACAGCTCCCTGCAGAGCTGACTTCCTTCTGAGCAAGTAACTTGGAAGGGTAGGTGTTCTTGTGCCCTAAATGCAAGCTCAGGCTTTCAAATATAACTTTGGATTTTGGCATCCAAGAGTTTGTGGAGCCTAGCAGGAGTCCCCGCAGGCAGCACCCCCAACCCAGCTGCCAGAGCAAAGACCACTTTGGAAGCTGAGCCTGCAGATACACAGCGTGACAGATGAGGGCTTGTGGATAAATAACCCACTGAAAGATAGGAAACAAGAGCTGGCTTCAGAGCAGAGATGGGCTGTCAGAGTTATCTGCTTTTCACCACACTACTCATGGTTAACTAGGAAAGCAGCACAGAGTACTGAGGATACATGTGATTTAGTGCAGCCAAAAGGAAAGCAAGTGGTGAAGGGGTGCAAAAGGATCTTCTAGACCTGAGTAACTGGACAGTTAAGCACTTGTTATTGAATCTGAATTAGTTGCTACCCTCTGGGAGGTCGATGTTGCAGTAAAAAAGGCAGTTGGGAAGCAGACATACACCCTCAGACTGGTTGGACAACATTCAGGGGGTGGGGGGCCCGGTGTGTTTGTCCTGTTAAATTCCCCTCCAGGCTGCTGGCAGATCTGGGTCTGAGGCAATGTGTTGTAAAGCCCGTGCCCAGGCTGTCCCGTCCCTGTCCCAGGGCTGGCTGGAGCAGGCGGCCAGATCTGAGGCTGCCAGGGTTAAGTGTAAGGCTTGTCCTGCCATGCCTGAGTGTGCTGTTAGCAATAAAGAATAGATGGGCTTGATGGGCAATCAATCTCAAACCTTCTGAATCAATGGGAGACTCTCCCCTGCCAGCCTAGGGGTCACAACACCTGTGGTGGGTATGGGATGGGAAAGTGTCCAGGCATGACAATACAGTTCCTAAGGGGAGCCCAAAGGGCTGTTTGCTCCTGATGATCCTACTCCCCTGGGATTTCCAAGGGAATGGCTCTCCCTTTTTTTCCCAGGATAAGCAGTCATTTCCCGCTCCCCAGAGGCAGCCCAGCCTTAACACAGATCTCTGCTCTCTGCCAGCGCTGTCCTAAACAGCAGCCTGAATTAAGAGCCCCTGTTTGGCAACAAGTGTACATCTAAAACAACACTGTAAGAATCAATGTAAGTTTTTCATGCAATCACAGAGTCTGCACATAGCAAAAGTAGACAGAGCAAAGCAGAAAAGAAGAAAGGAAGGAGAACCAGCAGGTCCAAATTCTACTGCAGGGACCTGGACTCCACTTGCCACAAAACTTAAGGGCAAATCTAATTCTCACTTTCCTTATAGAGGAGAGTGAAGCACTCTCTCATCCACATACTCTCTCACGGTCTTTCCTTCTCTTTTCCCAACATTCTCAGTGACTTTTATCACTAGTCAGCCACCCTTGGTGTAAGTGTCTTTAAAATGAAATGGGACAACCTTCCAGATTCTGGAGGATCCCTTTGCCAGATAAATGCCTTAGCATACAGTTCCTGTTTGATGAAATTGTGAGCTGCTAAATAGAGGACTGACTAAAGATATGATTCTTTCTTTGTAGTAGAAAATCTGCTTTACCATCAACTATATTAAAGGTTTATAACAAAATACGTATACTTGCACATTCATGTTGCTCGATTCTGTTTACTATCAAATAAGACTCTGAATTTATGAATATTGGGATCTCTGTGTGAATGTGTCATGAGGAACTTTGATTTAAGTCTGTGCGTTTGCTACCCTCACCCTTTGAGAACCCAATTGTGTAGGCACCACTTGAGCTAATGTTTCTGAATCAGTTTCATTTTTGCATTTCCCAAGTCTGCGTGTGGCTGTGAGTCACCTGCAAAAGCCCTACAAATAACAGCATCCATTTTGGTTCTTACCTGGAGGTGGACAACAGACCAGCTCCCAAGGCAACACATACAGCCCATGTCAGCCTCCACTTTCATTTCTCCTCTCCCTCCCCTCTTACGCTAATATTCTCCGGTATGTCAACCCTTGCATCCTTCAAGTGCTACTTGGTGGAGCAACCCCTGGGGTCCGCTGCTGGGGGTCTGAGGAATACGAGGGTGAGATGACACCCAGGGAGCTGGTGCTGCCTTTCAGGGACACACAAAGTCCCTTTTCTCCTCCAGCCCCTTCCCCTCAGGAGAGATGCTGATGTCTCACCTGTACTGTTCGTTGGCTTTCAGCTTCCCGTTGCATGTTGCCCTGGACTGGCCGCACTCCTCTGTTCCCACTGGCACTCGCCAGGTTTCGGGGGAGCTCCTGGGGCTCGGATGGAAGGGATTGGGGATTAGCACAGCCAGGTAGGAGTCTTCTGTCCCATAATAGTGGTCATACCATGTGCTGGACATGATTTCCTGGGTGGGCCTCAGCACTGAAGAGGAATGTACAAGGTGACAGTGGTAGTCCCAAAGTGACATCCAGGGGACTTGCTGTCCTCCAGGGAGCCACTGCAGATGGAGATGTGCAGGGGCACTTACATGAATCGTTAGTGGTAGCGATGACACCGTAATACTCGATCTGGCCATTCTCCTCACTGAACAGGTCAGATGAAATGATGACTGTGGAGCTGGCCTCCACCTGGAAGATGTCTGCTCGCAGGGGTGGAGGCAGGGCTGGAAAAGGAACCAGCAAGCACAGCCTGTTAGTGTGTCCCTGCTCCCACAGTCCCACCATACGTTGCTCAGCCTGTGACTGGTCCCAGCATCACTGTCCAGAGCCCTGACCTGCTGCAGTTCAGTGCAGGACCACATAGGGCTCACAGGCATCTGAAAGAGTCCCCAGGTTTAATGAGCAACACTGGGTGTCTTCCCCTGGGGTTTGTGGCAAGGCTGTGTGAAAGAAGGGGACTCACCCTCCACTGTTGTGTTGCAGAGCAGAGTCACAGCCTGGCTCCTCATGTTGTTCATGCCCACTGTGCTCACGACAATTCGGTATGATGAGTTTGGCCCCAGCCCCTCCAGACTGGCAGCGCTTGTATGGGTGCTCATGACATACTTGGAGGTGGGAGGTCTGTCAGAGAGTCTCTCTGTCACCACCTCATAAGCCTCCACATCTCCACGAGAGCTGGTCCAGTTCAAGTAAAGGCTCCTTGACTCCGGTAGGCACTGCACATCCTCCACCGGGTTTGGCTCTGCAAAGGACATATGGCAGGCTCTGAACTTACTGGATCAGAGAAATCCCAGTCTCAGCTCATGTGTCAGCCCAGTGCCACTGTGGTCCTCTACTGCCTGTCCCTAGGTCAATGGGTGAGGAACAGAGCTGGACATCTGCACCCTGGGAGCCTTCTGTGCCAAGGGCCACAGGACAAGGCAAATGGGTCAGGGCCTCAGCAGATGTCTTATAGAAGAAGCAGACCAACGGAGATCTCTGCAGAGTCTGCTTTGCTTCACAGGCAGCCAGGCCACGGGGTGATGGGAAATCTCTGTGATGGCGTTATCTTAGGGAGGCTTATCTCCCACCATGAAGACTTCCCATGCTTCTGTTGAGCCCCAAAGGCTGATACAGTCCTGAAGCCACCCAGGCATCTCCCCCTTCCAGCCTGCACTCCCTCCATCCCCACGGCAGCGCATACGCACCCATCGGCACTGCCAAGGGCTTGGTGCTGCTCCAGTAGGGCCCAGCCACGCAGCTCAAAGAGACGGAGTAATTCCTCCCTGGGATCAGCCCCTGGAGGAGGTGCTGGAGTTGCCCCCTGAGAAGCGTGTGCCGCCAGGGTAGCGTGCTGTTCCTGGGATCCCGCAGCCACAGCTGGCAGTCGTCCTGCTGTCCAGAGACACTGCTCCAGGAGATGAGCATCGTGTTGTTCCCTTCAGCCACCGCAGAGAGATTTTTGGGAACTGAAGGGGCTACAATGAAAACCACACCAGGGGAGAGTTATTGGCATGCTAGACCCTCTCTTCCATCCTGTAGAGATACAAGCAGAAGATGAGCAATATGCAAGGAAATGTTACATGTTCAGTGATAACATTTTTGCAACTGCGGGCTGCCATTACCAGAAATGACCTTTAAATGGCAATTGGAGGACATGCAGATCAAGGAGCATGAGGAGATGGGTTCTTCCTCCTGCTAATTAGTTTCGTTAGCAACCTGCCTGAAGGGCTCTGCACATGACTCCCAGCACCCTGCCAGGGGCTGGCTGAGCGTGGGAGCAGAGACCTCTGGATTCCCCAAGCAAAGTGCTGGGACTGTGGGGACAGGACAAGCACATGAAAAGGCTTATTGTGCTTATCTGCAATTTTCACATTCCTTAAAAAAAAAAAAAAAAAAAGCTCAGCCTCCCCTTATTGCCCATGCCAGGAATTTTCTGAGTGCCTGGGAGAAAGGCAGCGGGGATGGTAGGGCTGTAAGGCCTCGTGGTCTCCCAGGCTGTGGGTGTTCTCTATTAGAGCACACTGCTGCCATGCAATCCCTTGCTCTTTGTTCAGCCACCCATACCTGGAGGAGCCAGTTTGTGTGAAGCTGGGGTTGTCAGCTGGAGGGCTGCCCTGAGACTGTCCTATGGGCAGCAGCATTGCTGTGGCAGCAGTAACCCCTCCACCGGGGGCTTGCACAGCCCATGAACCCATTGCTGTGGTGGTCCCACAGCTTCCAGGCAACAGTTCCAGCCCTGTCCCTGCCCGTTCCCGCTGCAGGCGCTGACCCCACCCCGCTGGGGAAGGCTGAGACTCATGCACGGCACAAGGATCTCCAGCTCTTGCCACTTACTTGTCCAGTCGCTGATGTTCCCTGCGGAGGCAGCGTAGGGCCCTGCCACGGACACCACTTCCAGCAGGTATTTGTGACCTGGAGCCAGGCCAGAAAAGGTGAATTTGCTGGTGCCTTTCCCAACAGACACATTGGCTGCCACAATAACTGATCCCGAGTGATACAGGAGGAGCCTGTAACTGTCTTGTCCTTGGGGTTCAGCTCGCCAGGACGTGCTCAGCCTGTTGGGATACCCCTGGTTCGTCATGTACACGTTACGGGGTGCCAGGGGGTCTGAAGAGATAGGATGGGAGACGGTGTCAGCAAAGGGTCTGAGGACACTGGGTATCTTGGCAGTGTCATCAGAAGGGCTGCACCGTACAGGGCAGGGCACTTTGTCTTGGCTGGATGGCTGCATCCACCAGCCTGGAGGCAGCTAAAAGCAGCTTCTGCAAGCTTCACGTGGTGCTTGTCTGAGCAGAGACAGCCCTGTCCCAGCTGGAGCGAGACACCCAGAGATGGGAAAAGAGGGAGCACCCAGCTGACCGGAGGGGATGGGAAGGTGAATGCCCCTGTCCCCTGCTGCCTGCTGCCTGCTCCATGGCTCTCCTCTGAACCACAGCCCCTGGAGCTGCAGCTGGTGTGATCCAGGCTGGTGGAGCTGATGGTGAGGGTTGGCAGAGCCCTGCTCACTGCCATGGCACCGACGCGCCCTTGGGTTCAGGCTGGGCTTGGACTCTGCCGTGAAGGTCAGCAGGGCCATGTCGTTTGCCATGAGCCTTCGTACTGCCCAGCAAGCCACACATCACCCTCAAAACAGGGTACTCACACGTCCAGTTGCTGACGTTCCCTGCAGGTGCCTGGTAGGACCCCGCCACGGACATCACCTCCAGCACATACTTGCTTCCTGGGGCCAGTTCCGTGAAGGTGAAGTTGTGGGTGTCTCTCCCAAGTGAGGTTGTAGCTGCCACCATGCCCAGCCGCGCGTGGTACAGAGTCAGTGCGTAGCTGTCTCGCCCTCCAGCTGCAGCTCCCCAGGACGCGCTCAGCCTGTCGGAGTGCCCCATGCTCAGCAAGCGCACGGTGGCCGGGGGCAGCGGGCCTGGGGAGTCACCAGACCTGATGTTAAGGACCAGAGACTGTGCAGAAGGAAATGCACTTGACTGGACATTGCACAGCAGAACAGATGCTCCCTGAGGGCTGAGACACGAAGGTGCTCTCTGGCACACTCCTCCTCCTCACTTCTCTCTTTTCTGTCCCCATCCTACCTTACCTTTAATGCTTCTCACCCTTTGTGGTCCCCCAGATGCCAGCCCTTTTTCATCCAGGTCATCCCCATAGCCCAGCTAGAGCACCTTCACCACTGCTGCATGCACGCACATTCTCCAGTACCCAGCTGGCATGCAGCTGCCTGGGCAGAGCTGGTACAGCACCTATACTTGGTCCAGCTCTAAAATCTTTCTGAGTGGGGTCTAGTCCATACCGAGAGCAAAGACCCATTCTCCTGGGAGAACTGGCTGTGGATCAACCTCTTCCTGTTCTACACTGATTCATCTCATGAATCTTTATGTTAACGTGGTTTCTACCTGCTGGAGGAGACTCAGCAAGGGCGTGAGTGCTCCTGTATATGAGGAGATGGGGTAGCACGGTCAGGGGGATGTCCCCATGTGGACACAGCTGGGCAACCCTGCATGTCATCAGCATGTACTTGTGCAAGTCTACAGCTGAACATCCACATACACTTGAGAGTAACAGTGTGCCCATGCACTATGTGCTGCATGTTGCACCCACGCACACGTGTGTGCACATCTCCAAAGGCACCAGAACCCCTGTAGACCTCCCAGTCCCCCTCAGGGCTGCCCAGTGGTGCAAGATCTCCCACCCTGCTGCAGAGGACACTCCTCCAGGCACTCACGTGTCCAGCCACTGATGTTGGGTGCTGCTGCCCGGTATGGTCCCACCGTGGCACTGGCCTCCAGGGAGTACTCGTATCCTGGGGTCAGGCCCATGAAGGTGAAGTTGTGGATGTCTCTCCTGAGTGAGACTGTAGCTGCCACGGTGCCCAGCCACACATGGTACAGAGTCAGGGTGTATCTGTCTCGCCCCCCCGCTGCAGCTCTCCAGGATGCGCTCAGCATGTCGGGGTGCCCTGTGCTCAGCCAGTGCACGGCGGTCGGTGGCAATGGACCTGGGGAGAAAACACGAGTCACTGCCAGGAGCCACATTCAGGCTGAGAGAAAGGAGGTGCTCCATGTCTGTGCCAAGCCTGGTCTGCAGGAGGTGTGTCAGCCCTGCAAGGTCCCAAGGGCTGGCTGTGCCCTTGGCTCTGTCACAGCTGCCTCCAGGGACTGCCTCCTCCCTGGTGCTGCCTGAGCCTGTGGATGGCTACCTGGGACATGGGTGGCCAGGCCACGGAGTCACGCACAAACTCCTCATGCTGCGTACAGCAGGGCACGAGCACCAGGCGCTTGCGAGGGTGGGTGAGGAAGGCAGGATCTGGCTGCACCAGTACAGCCTCTTGAACTGGGAAGAGGGAGATCTGGCAGAGGGCACCTGGCTGCAAGGAGAGCACCATACTCACGTGTGCAGTGAGTGATGTTGGGGGCGCTGGTGTGGAAGGGGCCGGCTGGGTTGTAGTGGGTGCCGGGGCTCAGGTTTCTGAAGGTGTGGCTCCTGGCATCCCCACCCAGCACCATGCTCTCAAGACGACTGCTGGAGGCTGTGTCATAGACATCCACCACGTAGCCTTCCGCCACTCGCCCCATCGCTGCCCAGGAGGCCTGCAGCATGGAGGCAGAGGGGCTGCCCAGGGTGAGGTTGGCAGGGGCCAAGGGGTCTGGAAAGCAACACGGAAACAGTCAGTGCCTGCGTGCCACCACTCGCTGCTCAGAGCCATGAGCTGGCTGCTTCGCCCAGCGGTTCCTCGAGCTCTGGCAGTGCCATGGGCTGGACTCCAGCCCCCAGATCCCACTGGGCAGTGGGCAGGCTGGACACCAGAGACTCTCCCAGACAAAAGCATGGGGACGAATGGGCAGACAGCGCACAGGCAGTCCCCAGGGCTTGCATCTGGACATGCCAGGGAAGGTACCCAGAGCCTTTGAGGTGGGTAGGGGGCATTGGCTCTGTGTCAGGGGAGGAGTGAGGACAGTGAGCAGAAAGGTGGGGCAACTATGTAGAAGCTTGGGGCACAGCAAGATGGTTTGGGATGGGGAAGGTGGCGGGGGGTGCTCTGCAAGGCTCAGATGGAGGCTCTAGGGCACAGTGGAGTGCTGTGTCCAACCCAACCCATCGGACTCACATGTCCATTCGGTGATGTTGGTGGAGGAAGCTTCGAATGAGCCTTTCACAGCAGTGACCTGCACAGCAAACCTGCTGCCTGCCTCCAGGTGGGTCCAGGTGACGTTCTGTGCATCCGGACTCACGGTCTGGACTCGCTCCCTGCTCCGGGTGCTGAGGCTATACAGAATAACACGGTAGTGGTCCCTCCTGCCGGGGGGCTTGTTCCAGCACGTGTAAAGCTCTGAGGAGCTGCCTGGGTTGGTAAGGCTCAGGTTTGTCGGTGCAGCAGGAACTGCGAGGAAAGATAGACACGTGAGTCCAAGATAAAAAAGATTCTGTTTGGAACACGCAGCCATCTCCAGGGAGGAGTCCCGAGCAGCCATCAGCAACCAGCCAGCAAGTGCTCTGTGCCCACAAGGCTGCAAGAGGCAGAAGATGATGCAGTCAAGTGTCCCGGGTTAAGCTGAGACAGAGTTAACTTTCTTCATAATAGCTAGCAAGAGGCTGTGTTTTGGACTTGTGCTCAGAAGAAAGCTGATAAAAAGTGATGTTTACGCAGCTGCCAAGGTCTTTCAGCTTCTCTGGCTGTCTGCAGACTGGAGAAGCTGGGAGGAATCCCAGCCCCAGTTACTAGCCCAGGATTTGATCTTCGGTTTGGGATTGAGACCCAAAGTGGCCAATGCTCTATTCCACAACATACACAGCATGCCCGGTATATAGATGAGGACCCTCTGGAAGATTGGCTCTTTTGGTTCCCTTTTGCTCCGGGTCATCTCGCTCCAGGTGGTCGCTCTCCCAAGGCCTTCCCCCCTCCCCATCCCGGTCAGCTCTCAGTCTGGGACGCTCGGACTGTTCTCTCTGTTCCGTGAATGTGGTTTTGGGACTCTCCCTGCTCCGGCAGTATCACTGTGTGTCACTCATTTGTATATTTGCATATAGTATTATTTTTAATGTTATTGTAGTTTTGTTATTAAATTGTTCTTATCTCAACCCACGAGCCCTTTTTTTAGCTTTACCCCTTTCATTCTCTCCCCTATCCTCGGGTGGGGGGGGCAGGATTGGGTGAGCGGGTGTGTGTGAGTTGGCCCCCAGCCAAAGGCAAACCCATCACATCCAGTATCACTGGGAACCAGGCCAATGTGCCCTCCTCTTCTCTGTCTGGGTGCTAACATTGATCCCTGTCCCATTCTGGAGCTCCTCACGGTGCTCCCACCCAAGTCATCTGTGGGTGGTGTGGATGCTCACCTGTGCAGCCAGTGATGTTCTTGGGGAGGGAGCGGTAGGGTCCAGCTACTGCCCAGATCCCAACAAGGTAGCAAGTTCCCGGTGCCAGCCGTGCCAGGGTGACATTGGTGCTGTCCTTCCCTGATTCCAGGTTCCTTGCTGGTGAAGAAGAGCCCTCCTCGTGCACGCTGAGCTGGTATCCATCCCTCTGCCCAGGAGGGGTCTCCCACTGCACATGTTCTTGGGGAGGGAGCGGTAGGGTCCAGCTACTGCCCAGATCCCAACAAGGTAGCAAGTTCCCGGTGCCAGCCGTGCCAGGGTGACATTGGTGCTGTCCTTCCCTGATTCCAGGTTCCTTGCTGGTGAAGAAGAGCCCTCCTCGTGCACGCTGAGCTGGTATCCATCCCTCTGCCCAGGAGGGGTCTCCCACTGCACAGCCAGAGCCCAAGCACTGCTGACAGGGCATGCCGTCAGCGGGACTGCGGGAGAGAAACAGCGTTACAGGAGATAGACAAACCTGGGATGCTCATGACTGACTCGAGTTTGGGAATGAAGCTGGGAGCTGCAGGACTGTGAGCACCTAACATGCTGTTTAAAGCCTGCTGAGAGCAGTGGGTTGCTCCCAGATGAAAGCTGCTCCCTGTGTCCCAGGGGATAACAGTGCATCACCACCACCGAGAACCTCTTATCCCAAACTGCTGGGGCAGGCTCACAGCGTGCCCTGTTATGCTGCTGGGCCCAGGATGTGTGTGGGTCCCAACAAGAAAGCCAGCATCCTGAGCAGGAGACAGGCACCAGTGGGTTTGCAGGGACACGGTCTCAGGGGCCTCCTGGAGAGCAGCCCTGGGACCCTCCTCTTGGTCCCCAGCCCCTCACCAGGTCAGTGCCAGGCTGGGCACCAGGGATGGGGGCATGGGTGCAGAGGAGCTGAGTTCCTACCAGTGTAGCCGATGGCAGTCTGAGAGGAGGTGCGATGAGGCCCAGCCTGAGAAATGATCTCCACACGGTATCGGGACCCTGGCACCAGCCCCTCCAGGTCAAGCTGGGTGACTCCACGGGGGACAGACACATTCCTGATGATGGACAGGGACTCAGCCACCGAGAGCTGTACCAAGTGGTCTCTGCCACCGCCTGACTCCACCCAGCTCACACGTAGCTCCTGGGGTCTCTGGCCAGGCTGTACACTCACATTAGCCAGAGACAGGGGATCTAGGGGGAAACACAGCATGGAGATCCATGAGATGGTGGAGGAAAGCAACTGGAGAAGCCAGGCCACAGCCTGCACCCCTGCACAGGCCTGAAGGAGAAGTGGTGGCAGCTGAATGCCAGCTCTCCTGTTGTCCTGAGGGACATGCAGATTGCCCATCCATGTCCCCAGGGCGCTGCCAGCTGGCAGGTGCTGTGCTAAGGAGAGAGCACTCAGCTCTCCAGTGGGTTGCTCTGCTCCATGCACAGGGAGCACCAAGCCCGGACGGGTCTCTGTGCTTCCACTCTTGCATCCCTCTCCCACCAGTCCCAGAGATCACGAGGGGTCTAGGAAGAAGGTTCAGCTCAACTGGGGAAGGCCCGAGCTGGGGAAAAGGGTCTTTTGGGGCCCAGAATCCAGCACACAGCACCTAACTCATGGCACATGCTCCGGTTCCCAGGGGCAGGGAGCATGCAGATCTCACCAGAGCCCTCCCTTTGCCCAGACACGTTCATGTCACTGCCAGTGACTGCTGGGGACACTTCTCACTCACATGTCCACTCAGTGGCAAAGTGTGACGAGGATCTGTATGGGCCAGCGAGGACGGTCACCTTCAGGAAGTACTGCACGCCAGGGGACAACCCCAGGAACGTGAAGTTGTGGGTGTTTGGCCCCACTGAGATGTTCCTCTGTGCTGGATGGCTCTTGCTGTAGAGCTGGAGGTGGAACTGGTCCACGTCGCCATCAGCCTTGTCCCAGAACGCAGAGAGTCCCAGCGGGCGTCGGGTGTTGGTCAGGGTCACACCGGCTGGCGCCAGGGGGTCTGGGAGAGAAGAGACATCCAGGTGGTGAGAGGCAGTCATGGAGCTGCTGCAGCGTGGAGTGGGAGCCTGCACGGGCTTGTCCCGGGCACCCTTCACCACCTGTCCCTGGTGGGGTCAGGTCAGAAATCAGCCCCGGCGTATCAAACCCCAGAACAGACTCAGCTTCTGCCGCACAGCAAACATGGGAGCAGGTCCCCTGGGTGACATTTGGAAATGTTTTCCCTTCAGTGATGGGTTTCTCCAGCACTGAAGACCCTTTTACTTCCAGTCTGGCTGAATGTGGCTCTGATTGTCCTTCCACTCTTCAACTATACATCCCTGTCCCTGGTTTCCCCCACTCCCCATACGTGGTCCACACTCTGCTTTGCTTCCATGCCATGAGCTTTCTGCTCTCGTTGGCCAGGCCATGGTTGCAATCTGCATTAGGGTTGGGGTAGGGGTAGCACACTCACAGGTCCAGTCTGTGGCTGATCGCACACGGGATCTGTAAGGTCCAGCCATAGAAGCCATCTCCAGTGTATACTGTCGCCCGGGGACGAGGTCCTCAAAGGTGATGTTTGTCCAGTTGTTCCCCACAGTTATGTTCCTGACCTGCTTCTGGGACTTCGTTTCCCAGAGGGTGCATGCATAGCCAGTGCTGCCAGCAGGAGCTGCTCTCCAGGAGGCTTGCAGAGAGGTGCTGTGGCCCTGATTGCTGAGGGCCAGCTGCTCCGGGGGCAGAGGATCTAGGAAAGGAGAGGTCTGGAGTCACAGATGGTCCTGGACTGGCATCACCTGGCAGAAGTGCAACCCTAAATGTGCTGAGGCTGGAGCCCCTTCCCTGGGAAAACCCACAGCCTGGTGCTCTGGTCACCCATGGGGTCTGAGTGGGCCACCATCCCCCCTGCTGACACCCACACACCAGTTTGGCAGGGACTGGGCCAGCATAGAGTTCAAACTGGCATGGTGAGAGATGACTGCTCCAGTGGTGGGTGGGATGGTGTGGACCAGGGCGGTGGAGAGGTGGTTTGGGGCAGATCCAGCCTGAGCAGTGCCACAGGAGGGTGGCCCGGGGCAGGAGGGCACTGGGCTCTGCTGACCCTTGTGCTGGGTGGTTGGGACACAGGCCAGGGTCAGACACATCCAGCAGCACCTCTGCTTTCCTCCTGAGCCTTTTGCCCTTTTATTGCGTGAAGTCGCACAACACCCAAGCTATCACATGCCCTGAGGCACGACATCACGGGGGAAGAGCAGGATCCAGTGGGAACACTGGCCCTGGCTGCCGTGAGGGCTGTGGCACTCACATGTCCAGTTGGAGACGCGCCGGGGTGTGGAGGTGTAGGGGCCAGCCACGGTGCTGACCTCAAAGGTGTAGACAGTCCCAGGGCGGAGGCCCTCGTAGGTGAAGTTGGTGACACCCCTGAGCAGCGAGCTGTTCTTCACGGGGTGCTCCACAGGGCTGAGGGCCACCACGTAGCCCTCTCCCATTGCCTCCTCCCAGCTGGCCAGTAGGCTGTAGGGGCTCCCCTGGCTGGACAGACTCACGGCGGATGGTGCAAGTGGCTCTGCAAGGGACAAGGGTGGGAACATGGCCAGCACGGCATGGGGCAGGGCATCAGGCAGCTCCCACAACACCCTGCGCTCCTCCCATCCAACACGGGCAGCCGGGCGTGCAGGGAGAGCCTTTTAATGCTATTGGTGCCAGGGGCTGGATAAGTGTCCCCTCACACTATTTAAGGCTCCAGTCCCTCCTTTCAGGGGGGGTGGCTCTTGGGTGGCTGCCCGAGCACCAACTGTGGCTCCAGGATTGCCCAGGAGGGACTGGGCACAGGGAGGTGCTGCGCTGGGGGCTGAGGCTGGGGACCCAGCTGCTGTGAGCAGAGCTGGGGCAGCTGTCTTGAAGCTTGATAAACACTGAGTCCAAGGGTTACTGAGGAGGATCTGGTCTTGACTGGTGCCTGACAGTACCTGGCACAAGTCTGCCAAGGACCTCTGAGTCCACCCCCACAAGGAGCTGTGGGGCAGCAGATTTTGCTGCTCTGACCCACAGCCTGCACAGCCCCATCTCTGCCCCTGCTGCAACCCTCCTCCCCATCCCACCAGCCTCCCTCTGGGCACCAGCCCCTCCATCAGACAGCAGAAATGTCTGTGAAAGGGCACACTCAGGCTTTCTGCTTACGTGTCCAGGCTGCTGTGCTGTGGGCTGATGCCTGGTACGGCCCAGCCACCGCCGTCACCTGGACAGAGTACTGCTTCCCGGGGCTCAGTCCGTGGAAGGTGACATGACCGTTGTCTCCGCTGACGGAGATGTTCCTCGTTGGAGCACTGTCCTCTCCCTCCTGCAGCGTCACCAGGTAGAAGTCCCTCTCTCCTGCCGGGGTGCTCCAGCAAGCCTGCAAGGAGCTCTGCTCCTCTGCGCTGCTCAGGGTCACATTGCCAGGGCTCAGGGGATCTGGAAGGGAAGGAAATGGGATCCTGTGTGTCAGGATTACGGGGTGCTCTGGATCCCCACCCCAGGGCTCACTGTCTTTGCTGTAACTCAGGACTGTCAGCACTAAGGTGTTGGGTACACCAGCAATCCTGTCCTGCCCCACTCAGTCAAAGAGAACAGGCTGCCACATGAGCGGGTGCCATGAGAGACTCTAAGACTTCCCCATACAACCCTGAGCCTCGTTCTTAGCTTCCTTATCTGCAGGGTTACATCCAGCCTTAGACATTCTTTTGGAGCATGCTGTCTCCATTCCCCAGCACAACCATTCCTGGTCTAGCGGAGCCGAGACGAAGATGGCAGCCCTTCTGGGAAATTCCTAAAAGTGCTGCCTTCTCCATTCGTGTCCCGTCATGAGCTTGCTGATATTCCCCGCAACTGGCTTGGACTAAAATCCTGGCCGGATGCCCGTCTGGCACCAGGGACATTTGTTCAGTCGGGTAGGTCAGAGCTGCAGATGGCAACGGCAGGGATTGAGTCAGACTAACTCCATAGCAGAAACAAACCAGCTGGGGGTGTGGAGGTCTTCCAAAATCCCAGCTGCAGAGTCAGCAGATAGCAGGCTCCAGTTTACCAGACTGGCAGGCGGAGCAGGAAAGAGCTGGAGACTTGTCACCTGGTGGCACCCAGGTCCTTCCAGCGTATGCCTGACCAGTGTCTGTGCATGGGACAGGACAGGTCACTGGCCACAACAGCCCTGAGTTTGCAGCTTGGCACCTCCATAATGTCTTGCTCCACACAAGAGAGGGATAACCCTTTCCTGGCATTTGGCATGAGTCTTGCTCTGTCCTGGAGGCTAGGCTTGCCCTCTCCATTTCCCCCCTGGTTTTCCTGGGAACATCTGGGAAGGAAGTCCAGGGTCAGAACAGTTCACAGTGCTACAGACACGGTGTTAGCAGCAAAGCAGGACTGTGGTGGTCGAAGTCACCTGCTCTTGGGGCCCTTGTCAGCCTGAGGCCAGAAAGTGGAAAAAGCTGGGTTGAATGGTGCAGCTATCTGGGCTCTGGGAGGGCTGCCCTCAGTTTCTTGACCTGCCAGAGCTGGTTTCCTTGGCTGTATTTGCACAGCACCCAGCACATTAGGGACCAGCATCCACCAGGATGCTACCAAGATCAGGTGCCACCAAAATATACCCTTGACAGCAATCAAAGGGGACCAAAGTTCCATTTCCCTCCAGGAACCTCCAGTTCAAACCACCTAAACTGCTGTCCCCTTCCCCCTGTTTCTCTGCTGCCCTTGGACAGCCCCGAGGCACCCGAGCACCCAGTGCACCGAACACCAGTGAGGTCCACTGCCCATCCAGCCTCCTCCTCAAGGAAGGGCTACAGGCTGATCCCAGCACATCCCAGTGCAGGCCGGCACTGGGAATTCACCCGCCCAGGGTACTCATGGGACCCACTATTGCAGCTCCCCAGAGCCGGGTCCCGGACTGGCTTTCAGACAGGTCCAGAGGAAGAATTGCCCTTGGCACCTGGGGCTCTGTCAGGAGACCTTTGGATTCAGAGGCTGGACCAGATGCAGGGAGAAAGCCAGGGCCCCCGAGGTCCTCCCCATCCCTGGACATCATACTTACATGTCCAAGCAGTGGCATTCGGCCCCGCCGCTGTGTAGGGCCCAGCCACGGCGCTCAGCCCCAGCCAGTAGTGCGTGCCAGGGCGGAGATGCTGGAAGGTGTAACTGGTCAGACCCCTCCTGGCTGACAGGGTGGTGGTCACCGTCTGGGTGAGGAGGTTGTGGAGCACAAGGTGCAGCCAGGCAGCCCCCCCAGCGTCCGCCCAGGAAGCGATGAGGCTGGTGCTGGAGCCTGGTCTGAGCCTCAGCTGGGTGGGGACGGAGGGAGCTGAGGGGAAAAGCAGGAGGCAGGGAGGGTCAGCATTGTGGCTGGGGGGCCCCAGACCCTCCTCTCTCCCCAGGGTCTCCTACTTCCATAGCTGCTCTCTATGCTTGCATGGGGGCTGAAGGTCTGGGAGGGGTCTGCTGAGGGAACTCTTGCCCATGTTCCTTCCCAGGAAGGCTGAGGGGCTCTTGAGGTCCCTCCATATGGTCATGCTCTTTCAGGCTGCAGGGCAGAGGGGGTGGCAGTCTGGGGAATGCAACATTTCTGCAGCTCCCACCAGCCAAGACCTTTTGCCAGCATCCCCAGATTGCCCTTCTTCCACAGGGAAGTAGAGCACACAAACCCAAGCTGCAGGTCCTGCAAGGCAGGGCTGAGATGTGAGGTTGTCCCCTTGGCCATGCACACTGTGCTCACAGCGGGGATGTGAAAACCTCCCAGCTGCTCCTCATCCTACAGAAAGTCCCCATCCCAAGCCTGGAGACCTCCTCTACATCTCTGCCAGCCCAGCTGGCACACGTGCTGCACCCCTCCTGCCATACCCTTTCTCCCATCCCTTCCCCCTTGGGCGAGCACACCCATCACTCCCTACCTGTCCACTGGTGGATACTGGTGCTTGCCTGGCTGGATCCAGACAGTGTGCTGACCTTCAAGGCGTACTCGCTGCCAGCCAGCAACCCGTCAAACAGGAATGTGGAGGTGTTTGGCAGGACGGACACATTTCTCACGAGCGTCTGGGAGTCACTGTGGTAGAGGGCAAGGTGGTAGCCATCTCGCTGCCCGTGCGCATGCGCCCAGGAGGCGTGCAGCACAGCGGAGCTCCCGCTGCTGCTCAGGCTCAGGTTGCGGATGGGTGAAGGACCTGCATTGGACACAGCACAGATGGTGTCGGCTGGTTGTGTTGTGATGTCTGACCGACCAGGTTGCTTAAGAGCTGGTGGGACAGTGCCTTCACCTGGTGAGGTCCTGCCAGCCATCTCCACAGGACCCAATCCCCCAAGCACAGCCCCATCACCTTCTTGCCAGACCCCCAGACTCCCACAGGCTGTGTGGGCTGCACCACCCCCTTTGGATCAGTCCCTGCACAGTCACTCTCAGCTGGGCAGGGAGGCTCGGTCAGGGACAACACAACGGGTGCATGTTCAGAAAGGTGAAGCCATCAGTGCTTAGCTGTGAGCTCACCTGCTGCCCTGTGGGTCCTGCCACCTGCCCTCCTGTGAGTACCAGCCCCTGCTCCCTGCAGCCATCACTGCTGTCTGACACCATCCCTGCTGCTGGACAAGCCCCTCCCTCTAGCTCTATTCTCCTTTTCCAGGTTTTCCACTTTCACCTGCACTGATATACCCAAGGATCTTCTGGAGAGATGCAAGTACGGGCTGCCATCCTCACCTGAGCTGTGGGCTCACCAGCCCTGCCCACTCGCCCCGGTCCTTGGCATCAGCCAGGGAGGGTGTAGAGCAAGACTTGGTGGGTGTCTCTGATTGACAAAGATGTGACAAAATCATGGAGCAGCTGCTGCTTCCTTGTAGCTCTTTCTAGACCTCCACCATGACTTTTTCCAACACTCAGCTCTCTGCAGTCCACATCACAGTTTGGTCCATCATTATCCCAGCAGAAGATACAGCCTGAACCCCGCCCATGCAAGACGCAGGGGCAGGACCCTCCCTCCACACGGATGAGGGAATGACCCCTGGGGCCCTGGGGACCAGGTAAGGACCTAAATCCCTGTGGAAGTGATGAAAGACCTGACCTCCCCATGAACACACAGACCTGTACTTTGCACCCTCTAAAGCAGTGTGACAATCACTGGTAGGAGCACTGAGACCCTTTGACTCTGCAGTCCCTGGGAACCCCTTACTTGTCTGTGCTGTGACTGTCTGGCTGGTGGTCTCCATGCAGGCAAGCGTGGCTGACACCTCAATCTTGTAGTGCATGCCAGGGGTCAGCCCGTGGAACCAGAAGCTGGTGATGTTTGGTCCAGCAGATCCATTCTGCAGCAGCGTGCCCGACCCCAGGGACGAGAGGGCGAGCAAATATTCCTCAGCACACCCCTCTGGCTCATCCCAGGACAGAAGGAGGGAATCCGACCGGCCATGGTCACTTACACGGAGATTCAGGAAGGTCCCTGCAGAGGCAAAGCCAAAACCCTCAACAGGGAGCTGTGCTGCTGCGTGGCCAGCATGCAAGGCCAGGCTCCCCAGCCCACCCACCCTTGCTGCACAGCATGGCCCAGGCCACCACCATGGGCACTGGCCCGTCAGTCAGGCCCCTTAACCCCAAAGGCTCTGAACAGCCTTTGGAAAACACAAGAAAGTTCAGAAAACACCATGGAGTGGGGTCAAAGGCACCATATGAAAGAGATGCTCCATGCTGAGGAGCTTCTCTTCTGTTGGAGAAAGACCAGAAGGCTTCAGGCCACCAGATGCTTCACCCAGACAGCCCCCAGTTTATGGCAGAAAAGTTGCCCTGACTGGATATAATGCATTGCCTATAGTATTGTACCTTATAGTACCTTACAGTATTTCCTTGGCTGGTTTGGGCCCCCCAAAAGATGTTGAAGGGCTCTGGGTCCAGCATGCAGAGGCAAGACATGGTCAAGTGAGGGAGCAGGATGGATATGGCAGTGGGGCCATTAAGCTCCCTGCAACAGTCTCTGTGTGGAGGGAGAGGGTAAAGGCTGCTTTGGGGGACCCAGGGACTGACTCCCCAGTGTCACCAGGACAGAGCAGAGAGGGATGCTGGGGATGGGGCAGGGGATGTTCCTGCCCTGGGACCTCAACCCATCCTCTGCTGAGATGGACCTGAACTGAACCTGGACTGGGAGAATCAAGAAATCAACCTGGGTCCCTGCAGCACCCAGGTAAACCTGACCCACTGCTGGGGACTGACTGGCCCAGGGCTCGTCCTGCATAGACCACAGCCCAGAGGGGTCACCAGTGCAGGGCGTTCAAGGGCCAGCTATGCCACCCAGGTGCCTGGTGCCCCTGCTGCGCTTTGCCCGACTGAGCACAGCAATGACACGGGAAGAGCAGGAAGCTGCGTACACGGAGGAACTGTGGGGCCAGATTTGCACAGCCCTTTGCTGAGGTGTGTCCCTGCCTTGGCCTTGTTGCAGCAGCAAGGTCAGCAGGCTGCGGCTGCAGGGCTGTTGGTGTGGCATCCAGATGGAGAGCATGTGGGGACAAGGAAGTGGCGTATGGGGCTTTGCCTAATTGGTGGGTCAGTGGCCAAAACTGCACTGAATCCCTGCCCTTGGAGTTGCTCAGGAACCACCTACACAAATAGGAGCCAGACAGAGCCTGTCTGTTGGGACCAAACTGGCAACGTGACCCTTGCAAGGCTCCATCTCTGCCTCTCCATGTCTCCACTAGCAGTTCGTCACACACTCCCCATCTCCAGCCTTGCTGTGAACGATAAGCTCTGCATTGCTTTCAGTCTTCGGGAAACACCAGAGCAGCCCTAGTGCTAATAAGACATTTCTGTAACAATTAGCACTTAAAATTTATGACCTGCAACATGTAGTAACAGGCTTACAAGGGATCTGGCAGGGCAAGGAAGCTCTAAACAAGCAGAGCTACTGCCCTAGAGATCTTCCCGGGGGCTGACTTTACACGGCAAAAGAGAAGCAGGTTGGGGTGAGCCCCAGGGGCACGGACACCTTTGGGACTGGTTGGGTGATCCTGTGGCCTTCCTATAAAGCAGGAGAGTTTCAGAACTGCATGCAACTTCTCTTTCATGGAATGCTGTCGTTTGAAGCCTGCTGCCATGCTGATCACTCCGCTCAGCAGATGGTGCAAACAGAACCCGGGAAGCTAAATGGACACAAAGGGAACACGTAGCTCCCCTGGGAAAGTGCCACCCCCGAGCAGTTCAAGTGCAGATTTGAGAACAGACTGCTTGGGAAGGGTTCTCTGAATGTAGTTGGGTGTCCATGGGTCAGGTATCTACGCCTGGGCCAGCTGCCCTGGGCTCCACTTGCTGTCAGCAGAGCCTGAAATGCAGCAGCTGGAGGAGCACAGAGCACGACTAATCTCCCAAAGACAACAGCGGGATTGCACCCTGTGTAGCGTTCAAGCAGGGATGGTTTTTCACTGCAGGCTCTTTCTTATCTCATGAAGGTACGAGTTCTCCACCCATGTTTGTCTGCTTCTCTCAGATTTCCAACAGACTTCATTGCCTGCCTCCATCTATCATTTGGCAATCATCTTCTTCACCTCGGCAGAACAAATGCACTAATACCTAAAATGGGCCAGAGGCATCCTCCAGCCCTGGGGCCCGTGATCACAATGCCGCTTACGTCACCGAAGATAAGCTCCACTAACCACATCACAGACAGCCACATCCAGGTGCACCCCATGCCCTGACTGGTGCCTGCAGATCATCTGGGAGATTTTTCGCTGGCACAGGCCAGTGCTGTGCAGGCACCGCGCTGGCTCCAAGCACAGAGCAGTGCTTGCTGGCTGCAGGGTGAGTGCGGCACAGCCAGCTCAGTACAGCCATGGGGCTGCCCCATGGAGCATGATCCTGCCCAGCCAACTGCAGGGGCTCTGTGCAAGGCTCCTTTGTGTTGCTGCTGAGCCCACTTGATGCTCTGTGGGAAGGAGAGAGCTTGGAGCCTTGTCCATCTCTCACACTGCCCCCCATGAGGCTGGTTGCTGAAAGAGGATGGGGTTGAATCCGTCCCCTTTCCTGGTCATGACCTGCAGCCTGCAGTAAGTCTAAAGCAGAGTATTTATACTGCTGCTCCTAACTCCAAGTGTCCTGGTCCAGCACATCTGATCATCTCACCGCTCCCAGGCATCAAGACCACCTCCACAGCCTGGCGACCACTGCTTTGACCTACCTCTATCACTGGGTGCATCCTGTCTGTCCAGCCCTGCCCGTGCTGTGCAGTTGCATCCTTCGCCCTGGGGGATTAAAGGCATTAAGTGAGGCAGGGGAAAGGTGAGGTGGTCTGAGCTGAGACCAGTGCCAGGGGTCAGGCTGGCCAGGCACCGGTCCCATCCAGCCATGGCATCTGGGGGCTGTGATCCTCCAGGGACTGTGACCCCTTTTCCCAGGAGAGCCCAGGTCACTGCTTGCACCGCCCTCCCCTATCCAAGGCAGGGAGACGGACTCAGCAGATGTAGCTTGTGGGCTGCCCTGGCTTTTTGAATGGGTCCTGGGACTGCAGACCAACATGGGGCCATGCCCACAGGGGAAGATGTGGGGAGGGAGGGAGCTCTGCACAAGTCCTGGCAATATCACTCCTTCTACAGGCTCCCCCGCTTCTCACAATCATAGGGGAAGGAGGATGGAGGCACTCCGGACCTCCATCCAGCTGCCATCCCCCACCAGCTGCAAAGTGAGGGCTTGGCCTGAGAGCTCCAGAGCATCCAGTACCATCCCCACCGCAGCAGCTGCTGAGCACGTTCGCGGGACACCCGTCTCCCCACAGTCTGCTACCGAGCAGGGTGTGCCCTGCTTGAGTTGAGGCTAGTTCCCTCCACATTAAAGGAAATATCTCTGCCCACTCCCTATCCCGCAACAAGCCACAGAGGAGCAACCATCGTTCTTTAGTTATTTCCCCCTTGGCTCTGCTGGCTGACTCATTCCTGGCTCCCCCACCGACTGCAGTACTTTTGGGAGTGTGCGTGTTGAGGGGAGCAAAGGGGCTCTGTACCCCTGGGAACAGCAGCCAGACAATTCCTGGGGTGAGGAGCCGTGCAGCCATGTCAGCAGTAACGCACTCTGATCCCAGGCGCTGGGGCGAGGGGGCATGGCAAGGGGGGGGTGAAGCGGGGGAAAAGAGCTGGCTTGTAATTGCAAACGTTGCTAATTTGGTGCAGCTGCGTGGCTGGAGAGGCAGCCCCGAAGTATGCTGTCATTCCTCAGCGGGGGAGGACTATGCAAAGCCCCTTGCCATGCGCAAGCTCGTATCCAAGAGCCTGCGTGGACAAAGCAGGGGTAGAAGAGACAAGGGCTTACCTCTGCCAGGGTTCCCAGGAGCTGCGGCACCCACAGGACAAGCAGCGGCAGCAGCGGGGGGCCCCACCGGGACAGGGGGGGTGC